GAGAGTCTTTGCTAGATTTTGGCATTTAGCAACTGGCATACGGTTTAATGTGCAGTCAACAACAACAACAGAGACCCCGGGTCCCTGTGGAATCAAAGAAAAACGTACCTCACGGTGCCCCCGCGACCCCTTGGCACGTGGGAGCATGCACGATACTCTCTCTGTTCACACACGCGTACCCCTTCTCCTGCTGTGCTGAGTGCTGGTGACGACTGCTGTCCCTCATCTTATCTATCGAGGGAAGAGGGCTGCGCTGTACGATGCGTTTCGCCACGGCGGTCCCTGTGCTGGTTGCCCTGCTTGGCCAGAGCTCGTCGGTGCAAGGTCGACATGTTGCCCACTCCGCTTCAAGAGTAGCAGTAGCAGGCAGGAAGCCCCAGCAACAGCAGCCCAATGGTGCGAGTAGGCAGCAGCTAGCCCAACTTCAGCGTCCTAGTCAGGTAAAATCCCCGTTGGACTTCTTTTGTCGCATTTTTGGTTGGGCTACCGCCATCATCGTCTTCGTGTCTTCTCGCGACCGAGTCGCGGCGATGTTGAACTGGGGTCCTGGTGTTGAAAGAGCCCCACAACAGCAGTACGCAGCGTTCTATGTGTTGGCCAGCCAAGGTATGCCTGTTCTTGGCCAAGAACTCGAAGCATGCCTCACCCCTCAGTGGCGGGCGCGGCCTCCACCTCGCTTGGATCCAAGTCGCGGCGCAGCTCCGTGCTTCTCGGGGAGGCGAATGGTATTTCACTACGATACCATGGTTGCGGCGTGCCTTGAGTTTTGAGGGCCTTCTCGAAGGCAAAGAGAGGCCCCCTTGCAGTTGTATCACCCACGGACTTGTAACATGGGGTTACTGCGTCGTAAAGTCAAAGGGATTCGCAGCATTTGCAGTTTGTTGTGGCTCCGAGTGTCTGGTGAATGGACACGCTCGCGTGGTGCAGCTCCGGTCGCAACCTGGCTGCCAGTGTGCCCTGCTGTGCCGGTCGTGTACTTCTTGCTGTAGGCACTCGCTGAACGCTGGCAGCAAATACCTGTACTACAACTGTAGTACAACAGCAACACTGGGACTTGCTGGGGCGGAGTAATATTTACTGGTACGCCACAGAAAGCGGCGGCAGAGCACGAACGAAAAATAATGGATAGTTTTCTCGGACGTAGTGATCAACTGCCGTGTAGAAGTATGTCTCTTATTTTCGTACTACAGGTAAACGCACGCGGTGCTTGCCATAATTGCCACTGGTGACCTGGTGAGCTACCCACGTACTACATGTACGCTATACATTTATGTATCTGGACGAAGGGAAGGGCATGATCCTTTCTTCTCCGCTACACACAACCGGTTGCGGTTCTCTTTGCTTGGACGCAATCGCCCCCCCTTCGCCGAACTGCGATTCGTCGCGCACACCACAAACCTTCGCCTTTGTTGGTGCTGTGACAACCTGGTCGACCAAAAGTCGACGTGCTCCATCCCGCGACTCTGTCGTGGATCCCCATACTACTACGGCATATGCTGATCGTGAGATGCACCCCGCCTCTCCCTCCTGTGCCGCCTAAATGTACATTGCTTGACAAGGTTCGAGGTGGTGCCACGCTCTCTGCGACGGTGGTAACAGTAGGAGCAACCGGCGAAGACCGCTTGACGCGAATGAGGGGGGGGCGCACGTCTGATACAGGTCAGTCCGTTAGCCACACTGTTTGGCTCTATTTGAATTTGGCACGCACGATGCTTTTCACACTATCCACTAGGAGCACTGTGCTTGGAGTTTCCGGTTACCACCCGTTCGGCTACATGTTGCCTCATGGCTAGCCATCATATTCCACATTGAGCCTCAAAGGCTCCGTTGTGTGCTTTCTCAACAGCTCCAACTGCATCCCGAGAGTTACAAGTGCGCTAGACACATGTTACCGGCGGAGTAGTGGCCCTCAGTGCAGTAGATAGTCTCAAAGTTTGGTATCTCCGCGCTACACAACAACCGATTGGTCCCAACAGGTCGCGTCGTGCTGTAGAAATGGCACTGCTCCGCATTGTTTGACCCCCGACGAATCGCGGTGGTTTTCTCACCATGCCTTCATAGTTTGGACACGAGCCATTTTGTCGTTTCGCCTACTCTGTCTCGTGCCGAAGAGTTCCACCCCCCCCCCCCCCCCCCCCCCCCCCCCCCCC